ATGCAGCCTTGATGAGCAGAAGAGACTTCTTTAAAAAACATTACAAGTCTTACTGATCCCAAACCTTTGAACGGTAGTGTGTATAAATATATGTGTATAAATATATGTGTATAACTATATATATATATATATATATATATATATTAGTTGTTTTCTAGGTGATTGTAATAAATGTGTTAATATTGGAAAGGCGTCTTCGTTACAAAATATAAGTATATAAAATATGACTTTAAAAACATTTAAAAAGGTGGAACATTATGATTTAATTTCATTGTTTGCCCCATCAAAATAGTGAAAGACCTGAATGTGGCTTCTAAAACTCAAATACTACTACTGCTAGTGGCTGTGATGATTGCAAGCTATGGTTTTACCAACGGTGCAGCCAGCAATGCAGCCAGCAATGCAACCAACGGCAACAACACCAGCAATGGGGTTTCACCTAATATGGGGTTGACGTGGCTGTCTGGACTTCTATTCTACACGATCACCTCTACTGCAGTTCTCAAACTCTTTCAGCTGATCTGATCATCAACTCTTTCAGTTTGTCAACCAGCTAAAACCTACGAGATTCACCTGCGACAGTGACTGCACAAGTTTCTAGCAATTTTATGTCAGCCTTTGTCAGATTACTGATTGTTTTGCCTATACTTACTGCTTTGACAACTATCGGCATGCTCTTATATGTATGATTGTGTGACATTTCTTTGCTGACATTTCTAAACGGCCTTTCACCTGCAAAACAGGTTAAGGGCGGAAGTTTAGATATAATTATTAAAAAGGATCTGCATGTGTTGCGTATGAGTAATTTTATTTCATGATAGCAATATATATCACAATAGGGAAATATGGTTGTTATTATACCAACATTTTAGATTCCATTGAATTTTCACAATTCTTAATACAAATTTCAATATCACAGAACAAAATAATACTAGCCTAACTGATATAACAATTTCCCAAAGCTTAGTGAGGACAATTAAACAATCAGTGATAAAATAAGAACAATGAAGCTACAAACAATAGGAAAAATCAAAATAAAGATTGTTTTTGAGGTAGGTCTACCTAACAGAAGTAAGTAATTCTACAGAAATTGAATAAACTAAAAAACAAAAAACTGCATAGTCCCCACTGTATAAATTCACCATACATTTATTCTTATTTAAACTACAAAAGCTATTGAAAGAGAACTCAATTCAGTACTGGCGCTGTGTGGCAGACTTCAGGTGTGTGTGCACAGAAAACCGTGTGTCATAGAGCATTCACGTATACCGCACTTTTGGGTCTACTGTGCTTGAACCGTTTAAAATCGCTTGAAAGTTTCGACTGGCAAGGCTTCAAAATGCATGCAAAGCTTCTTAAAGTACTGATCTGTCAAAAATGCAAATATAACTTGTGTCAACCTTAAGGAAAGAGAATAAACAAGATGAACAGGATACAAGAGAAGTCAAACAGAACACCCAACTCAAATTTGACAAAACAACTTGCACGGGTCTGGTATCACACTGAAATAGCACGACTCAAAAATTAAAGCTCATACCTGCAATGCAGTATAATAAAAGACAGGATTGCCATTCTTAGATGTGCCACCTTGAAACAGCTTGAAATCTGAAAACAACACAAATATAATACAAACAAAATATAGAATACAAATATTTTAGTATAATATAAATCAGGTTATGATTTTATGAAGAAAGAAAATATGTGAATGACAAAAGGGAAACAATTGATAAATGTTTTGGCAAAGCATAAAAGATAGCATGGATTATGAGACTTAAAACATCGTCTGCACAGAACAAATTCATTACCGGATGTTAGACTTGCATGACTGCATTTAATGCTAGCCGATTATCAACCAGTAGCTTAGCTGATGCATCAAATGTAAGCACATAATACAAATAACCATTACCACACCCTAGCATAGGCATAAAAAACGAGATATACTTTGAGCTTAAGCATAGATAGCATACACTGGAAACGAATGTGAGGATAAGCTGGAGACAGCGACAACAGACACCTGAATTGCGTGAGGGGGTTAAGAGATACCTGCAATTCTAGTTTAAACCAGTGCAAAGACAATTTTATTGGTCATAACGTCTGGAGGGAAAAAGCACAGGCACTAGGATGAAACTTTCTAGTGTGGATATGTCCATCACACTATCAAATGGACTATACTTTGAAAGGCTAAGTGTTTGTCAAAACTGAAGTGTATTCTGGGCTTCATATTAGCCTATTTTAACCTATTAGCTTGTATTTTGACCCAAGAAGAGCTTTAAGTTATTAATGATCTTAACAAAACCAGGTGTAGGCATTACGCTGTTAGATTTTGCTATAGATTTAGCAGCACCTAAAGTAAAAACCTCCAGTACAACACCACGTTTCTAAATTATATTCTGGGTGATTTTGAATGAGTGAGAATATTTTACAGTATATTTTAGTGTTCCTGTAACCTTGCACAGATATATTACCTTACCACTGTCTCATTTGCACCGATCGACCATTGAAATTTTAAATTTTCACCCAACTGCCTGCAGTGGTATAGAAATAATCAAATAAACTTTAAGAATAACCCAACAAGCGATCCAATATGTTTAAACCAGATATTGGGTACAGTAAACAACCCAACAATTTTAGAGTGTAGGAAAATATAACTTAGTGTTTCCTGCTAGCTAAATTTCACATACATAAAATGTATCTTTCCTTTAGGCTATTCAAAGTTGGACAAGTATATGGAAACTAAGTTCTGGTCATCCTAAAGCAGTGAAAACTGTATCTCTATATATTCATTACGTGTCCTCTTAAAGTGTAAATACTTTTTTGTTAATCTGGCAAGTGGCAACACATCCCTTACAAAAATTAACCATGGTTTTACTTCCAAAAAAAAAAAAATCTGCCCTTAAAGGGGTCATATGATGCTACTAAAAAGAACATTATTTTGTGTGTTTGGTGTAATGAAATGTGTTTATGCGATTTAAGGTTCAAAAAACATTATTTTCCACATACTCTACATTATTGTTTCTCCTCTATGCCCCGCCTTTCTGAAACGCGTCGATTTTTACAAAGCTCATCGGTCTGAAAAAGTGAGGTGTGCTCTGATTGGCCAGCTATCCAGTGCGTTGTGATTGGCCGAATTCCTCAAGCGTGTGACGGAAATGTTACGTCCCTTACCATATTGTGATGCCTGCGGCAACCACATATGACGACCCCAGGCTGGACTCCGCTTCGTCCACGGTGAAAGCCGATCCGGCGATCCACAGCGCAAAGTTGTAGTATTTCCTCAGCAACCAGCAGAGATCAGCTCTAGGCATGACGAAGCAGATATTGTCCTCTTTTGGAAGACCAAACAAAGTAGTTTCGCTTTCACAATGAAGCACACAGCGCCTTCACGACATGGTGGCGGCGGCAACAATACTACAGCGAGAATAAAAGTTACGCCTTCTTTCTTTGCGTGAACATTTGCGCGGCGTTATGCAAATCTTCCCAGATAGTGACGTAGGTATGTGGGGGCGTGTTAGAACGAGCCGTTTTAGGTAGGCGTGGCTGACTCTTAACTTTTATAAAGAATATCTCTTTGGATTTGAGACTTTAGTCTTTGCAACTTTACAGATCTTTTTTATGCACCAAGAGCTTGTAACACTCCAAAGAGAAAGGAAAAATTTAAATCGCATTTTATGACCCCTTTAAGTCCCGATCTGAATAATGATTCGTGAACCAGGGACTTTGGAGCGCGTAATCTTTCAATTTGCGAAATGGTTCGCGTACCCGCTCTGAAATTCCCATCTGAATCAAAAGATTCTCGAACATGCTCTGATCTGATTCGCGCTCCGAAGTCCTGATCTAAATCAAATGATTCGCGATATGCGCGAATTCAAGCGCCAATCTGAATCAAATGATTCGCAATACAAATTGGAGCGCTTCGAAACATGCGATGCATTAATGGTTTAACTGATTCAGAGTTTCGAAAAGCTCTATTTCACAATGTGCTTTTAAAAGTCATTACAAGCAATGTCGAAATTTGTAAATGAAAGACTCTTTTGAACTGGTTTCAAAGTCAAATTGAATTAATCGGAGCGGTTCCAGCGCAAATGACTCAATTGAATCGGTTTGTTTGTTCCTCCGCTTTTCGTGTCTTTAGCCATGTATACGACACTGTCAGTAGGCTACTACCCAGATAGCATGCGGATGTGGGCCAATTAAGGCAATGATATGGCACTGCTGGCCTTCTTATGGCCCGGACAAAATGGATGTAAGCCTGAAGTTGCCCATATGTAAAACAGCAAAAATGGCCCAAATGTATCAAATCACATGTGGGCCTCTGTAGGTAAAGATGCGGTGTTGACGGCAATGTATAATCTGAATGTGACCCTAAAGTGGCCCATGTGGTAAACAGTGATTATGGCCCAAATAGTGCCAACCAAATGTGGGCCACCTTTGGCAAAAATGTGGCATTATTGACAAAGGCTAATCAGGGTGTAAACCAAATGTGGTCCACATATGTTTCAGCAAATGTGGCCCAGGTACATTGAAACGTATCTGGTCCAGTTTTGGCAAAGATATGGCACAGTGAGCACTTGCTAATGTAGCTGTGAGCCTAAAGTGGCCCACATATGATGCCACAAATGTGGCCCAGTTATCCTAAAACATATCTGGGCCAGTTTTGGCAAAGATATGGCATGGTAAGCACTGGCTAATGTGGCTGTGAGTCTAAAGTGGCCCACATATGATGCCACAAATGTGGCCCAGTTATTAAAATCGTATCTGGGCCAGTTTTGGGAAAGATATGGCATGGTAAGCACTGGCTAATGTGGCTGTGAGTCTAAAGTGGCCCGCATATGATGCCACAACTCTGGCCCAGTTATCCTCAAACGTATCTGGGCCAGTTTTGGCAAAGATATGGCACAGTGAGCACTGGCTAATGTAGCTGTGAGCCTAAAGTGGCCCACATATGATGCCACAACTCTGGCCCAGTTATTAAAATCGTATCTGGGCCAGTTTTGGGAAAGATATGGCATGGTAAGCACTGGCTAATGTGGCTGTGAGCCTAAAGTGGCCCGCATATGATGCCACAACTCTGGCCCAGTTATCCTCAAACGTATCTGGGCCAGTTTTGGCAAAGATATGGCACTGTGAGCACTGGCTAATATGTCTGTGAGTCTAAAGTGGCCTGCATATGACGCCACAACTGTGGCCCAGTTATCCTAACCATCGAGAGCGTAAAAGTGGCCGGAAGTCATTCATTTTCAATGTGAGCCGGCGTCAAGCAGCGGTGCGGCGCGTCTTGGATGGTGAGGGCGTAGAAGAGAGTTGAAATCAGGTCAACTTTATGGTAATGAGCTATGATGCGGTTCGGCGACAACCAATCGGAATGTAGAAGTCCACCGCTTGAGAGGATTCCAGATAACGCAGCCCTGTAAACTTTGGTTCCGACCACATTAGTTCCCAAGCAAAATGGAGGAGAGGCTGATTATTGCTGTGGCGGGTTTCCCAATAATCTACGACGTGTCCCAAAATGATGCGTGGACCAAGGTGTCTGAGATCGTTGGCGTTCCTGGTGAGTTGCTGATGTGCATTAACGTTATAGTAATAATAATCTAATTATATAATAAATAATAATATAATAGTCCCAGTTCACTTTTAAACCTTTACATAAATTTTCCTGATTAAACTTACATTAAGTAATGTTTATACCTGATTATACTTAAGTAACATTTTCAATGCAGGACTTTTACTTGTATCAGAGTATTTTTACAGTGTGGTATTAGTGCTTTATACATTATGAGGTAAAGGATCTTAATACTTCGTCCACAACAATATTTAATGAGGTTAACTTAACGTTACCCTCCTTGTGGTCAGTCTGCACAAGATCAACAAGCTTGTTTGCTTTGTGGCCCCTTTAAATACAAGATAAGCATTCGATCTACATCAGAGCATCAGAGCGTCCACGAATCTTTCTACAGCGTTGTTCGCAGGGCGGCCAGAGCGATTTTTGATGCTCTCGGTGTGAACGCACAGTAAAGCGTATCTGGGCCAGTTTTGGCAAAGATATGGCACGGTAAGCACTGGCTAATGTGGCTGTGAGCCTGAAGTGGCCCGCATGTAAAATGACAAATATTGCCCAAATAATTAATAACATTTTGGCCACTTTGGCAAATACACAGTCAGCATTGGCTAATCAGTGTGTACGCCTAACTTGTCCCACATTTCACATGGCAAATATGCCCCATATATCATAAAACAGATGAGGGCCACTTCTGCTTTTGATGTAGCACTTGACATTGGCTAATTGAAATGCAAGTTTGAAATTGTAAATATGGCCTAATAGAATTTGCCTACTTTTAGTTGGATGCAACACAGTTAACTGAGGCAGTGTGATGTGGATGTGAGTCTTAAGAAGGCTACATATGCAGCAATTTATTTTTTGAAACATGCTTTTAATGGCAGTTAAATACTGTGTAGTAGTGATGGGACGGTTGATATCGATGCTCCGACGCAGTTTTCAAAGCACTATTGTATCACACACTGTGCCCATGCTTGTATTGAAATGACAATACCACGTGATTGATGGCGTTTGAAGCTTCGAACGTTAGATAGGCTGGAGAAACCGAGTCTGACCACCCGATGTCATTAATGCGCACTGTGTTAAAAAGTTTCGAGTAATGAACCGTCCGTTTTTCGGCACAATTTACTGAAAGCCTCAAACGGTTCAGAAAGCCTCGGTTTCCCATCACTACTGTGCAGCATAAAAACAGAAGCGCACTATAATGATTGCACTCTTACTATCACGGTTTCTGTTAATTTGGACTTTTGGAATCCTTTTGCACCGTTTCCCTTGTTGTGTTGATTGTATTATTCTGTTCATGTGTGCCTAGTTAATTATCCTTGTTTGGTCTGAGTACTTAAGTTCCTGTATGTTCACTTTGAGTTTGTTTGGTCTTATGTCTACGTGTCGCTGTGCTACATTGTGTTTGGATTTACCCTTGTTGGATTAAAGACTTGTGCTATGTAACCTTTCGTCTTCGCCATGCGCTCTTTAACACAGCGTAGCTATGACACTCACAGACTTACTGTGTAGGTAGAGTCTGAGTGAGAAGCATTTAAGTTCAAACTTGTGAAGAACAGTTTTTAGAGCATTGGAATGTGTCTTTGAATATTTATCTGTGACATTTTAATTGCTGCTTGTGCACAACTTGGGTCGGGATGATTTTAT